GGAGCTGCAGCCTAGAGCCTGGAATATACTAGGTAAGTGCCTTAACCTTATGTTTTTAATAGAGGAAAAATACCAGAATATTCATACCAAAATTATAATCCTATAGTCTCATTCAAAAGTCAATACCATACCACAGCTTTCTGCCAAGCACCATGTAGTGGGTAAGCGTGGAAGCTGACCACCTGGATTTCATCCAAGCAATGCACCCAGGAATTCTCTCTTAGTATTTGCAAACAAGATCATTTTTCTTTTTGCCATGGGATAGGGAATCACATATTCCCTCTAGTTCCCGGTTGTTTCCACACTGTAAAAATACTTTGACACATGCTGTTGATGTAATCAAGTTGTTTTGCAGGAAGAAAAATGGTCTCCTAGTCAAACACCAAATTATGTGTTTCTATTTTAAACTATCAACCAAGCAGAGGTCCTGTCTCAGGTAGAGAAGAAAATACAGACATTTTACTTTCTTTACAATTGTTAGCTTCCGTCATTTCCTCAGCGGCAGATTATGTGCTTTGTGTATATCAGACTTAAGACTCAGAAAAGCTTCATGGGGTGAAATTAGGGCTAAAGACAGACAAGTATATTTGCCTGTCAAGCTATTGTCAGTGCTGTATCCACCAGCATTAGACATGTTACAAGAAATCAAGGATTCAGGCAAGAAAAAAAGGAATTTTCCTGGCAACGTCACCATCTATCTGAAATATTTCCATGATACAATTATTATTATTTATTTTTCCTCCAGGTTGACAAACACCAGGAACCCTGTAGATTTACCGTCTTTGGTTTTCCCTTTTCGGTAGAGAAAGCAAAAACGACAGCAACCAGTCTATTTGGAAACAAGAGCATTCGCCCTGCTTCACATGAAGGTTGAGAGACATCCTTATACATAAACCTGTTACCTGTCAAATAAGAGTTGCTCAAGATCTGTTCATAAGAGAAAGGTACGTTAATAAAACAAAACAAAGAAAATCGGAAAACACCGCAATTCTAACTTACTGCGGAAAGAATGGCCATTGTCACAAAAGTCAAGAAACTGGAAGAGCAGATAACTTCCAAAAAGTACAATAGATGTTGTAAAAGGGAAAGAAAGTGATCAAAAGAAAAGAACAAGAGGGATGGGGTAAAAAAGAAGGAGTGTGTGTGTGTGTGTGTGTGTGTGTGTGTGTGTAGTGTTTAATTGTTTGATCCATTTTGTAGCCTGATATCTGGTAACCTGAGCAGCTAGTCTGAAGATAAAAATATGTAGGATAATAAGCATTGTTAATGTCTTACCGTCTTGTTTCAAAATGTTGCATCATTTTTATTTTTTTCTCTTTAAAATTAAAAAAATATCAAAATGTAACAAATGCCTGGGGGTCTAGGAGGAAAACAGAATAATCTTTATTGGCGGTGGGAATGT